CTCTATTTTTTCCTCCCTGGAACCAGGTACTTTTCATATTTGTAAAACTAAGAAGTATGGGGAAAAAGACCAAAACCAACAAAACTTACCTGCCAGAAAAAGTAAAGTGGACAGAGTTGAATTGTCTCTTATCAGCAGAAATAGGATCAAGATCCTGTTAGGATCAACTTGACCATTACACCAAGTTATTGTGAATTTAATTTTCACTGAAGTTAGGAAAAATCTTGTTTTTTCTACCTTCAGCTCTAACATGTTTAAAAACTGTTTTATTCTCTTGGCTGGCTTAAAAGCCAGTAATCAGCCTGGATGACCATGGGTCTCGGTCTGCATGCAAAGATTGAAATCGTTAGAATTAGCATACCCAGAACCAAGCACAGCCCTCACAAGGCATTCTCAGCAAGAGACCCTAATGAAGTAAGTTCCTCTCTCCTTCTGGGAGGCCTTCAATCAACTCAAAATCTCTCACGGATATCACCCTCATTGGAAGGCCTTAAAGTTGTTTCAGCTGGTTCTTTCACATACAACATCATGCAACATGTCAAGTCTTTTAAGGGAAAAGTTTTACTGACCTCTTTAGAGTATCTTATGCTGTCTATGAAAATCATAACAACAGAACTTCACTGTCGAATTTTCCATTTTATAAGAGGGAATAAGAATCTCAAGCAGAAGTGAACTGTTTTCACTGAACTACACTCAAGGTAGACTACCCTTGCCAAAACCTTATAGAAATATATCAGAGTAATGATGGGTGGAAAGATAAAAGTTTGTATAAGCATTAAGTAATGCTAGCTAGCAACTTAAAAAGAATATAGAACTAAATTTTCACATCATAAAATTCAGCTTTTTTGAAAGAAAAAACCTCACAGTTGAAGCCACCCTAGAAGGGAAAAAACCCTCAACAATGACATTTGAAGTAGTTTGAGATTCTTCTAGACTTACTGTAGCCTTAGCTGCTGGATCCTATATATATATAGGGGTGTGTGTGTGTGTGTGTGTATAAACTCAGTTGCTGAGACACCTGAAGACCATAAAACAATAGCAGAATACATTTCTGTGTTGCATTAACCAAAATTCCACTGGTCAAAATCAGCTACAAAATCTGCTTTCCTCCAACCACAAATAATTTGGGGCTTAATTCCTTTTAGCACACAGAAAGAGATTTAAAGGTATTAGCAACTCTTTTCTTCCTAAGCTCACCACCCAAAACTAGAAAATACTAGGTAATAAAACTTCTAATCTTTATCTATCACTATTTCACAAACTGATTTATGTATAGTAAGATGATGGTTAAACTTGAGAATCCTTTTTTTTATTTTAGCAGTAATTCTACCATGTTCATTATATCTTTATATACAAAGCATCAAAGCCACATCTATATACAAAATTTGAGAGTTCTGAATTCCAAATCAATAGCAAAATACCAATTTCAGCAGTGCTCAAAGCTGAGAGAAAATATACACAACCACTGATCCTCTTTCACACATTTCCACTCTTTGTATCCTTACCACAACCCTTTCGTCTGGAGTTTCAACCACAACCAGCCACTAGAGCCCTTTCCAATTCGGGAGCATCAAACAGTGACAACGTAATCAATAAAACTATATCAACTTGTAAGACTACAAGAGAGTAAAAAGTACAAAATCAAAAAAGAAATACTTTTACACCAGATTAATCTGAAGGTTTTAAATGCCCAAAGTTATCACATTTTGTTTTTACACACATCTTCTTTTAGTATGAACTTTATACAACTAAAGGGTTTAAATAGAATAGCATATGCTCATTTGACAAAGACCTAAGTTTGAGGAGGTATCATTTAAAAAGTTGAAATGTGGATTAAGGAATTTCTTGATAATACAGACTTATCATAATAAAAAGGATTTTTCAAAATCCTGCTTTAAAAAAAAAAAAAAAAGGAAAAAGTTAGCAGTTTAATCATTATGGATCTTCATTTAATATTGTTACCCACATATGCCGCACAGTAAAAATAAAAATGGTACTTCGTGAATAGAACTAACAAGATACTCTGTCAAATGAGTTTGGAAAGTAAATAGAAAAACATGGCAGTACAAAAATCTCATTTATCGAAATCATCTCAATTATTTAGGTATGGCAGAAATACATTAATCCATTTTAAACTGAGCTGATGTGTGTGTTTGTATCTCTTGTAACATTTTAAACACTAGATACTTTTCTATGTAGTATAAAAAGTTCTATGTAGTATAAAAAGCAAAAAACAGTATAAACATGAAGCTAATCCATTATCACCTTTAAAAACTTTATTAAAAGTTTATTACAAATTGAAATTTCATCTTAAAATTAAAATATTCAGAAAACCAGTACTGCCATACATAAAAAATGGAAAAAGCACAACAATTAGCTGAACTCCTCCTGTTCAAAGAGAAGGAAAAAAGCAAACCAAAAAACCACCAAGCAAAAAAAGCCTAAGTGGTTCTGCAACTGTGGATCTAGTGGAGCCTGTCTTCCCATGATCTCCTTACTGGTTTCTCTGGTGCCAGAAATGACATAATGACACGCACTTCAATCAATTCTTATTTAAAACAAAACAAACAAACAAAAACAATCAGCAAGAAAAACCAGAACCAGAGATCTTTCAAGATCTGGCCAGACAGGATCAGAGCAGTCAATACAAAGTAGGAAACCTGGGGCTTGGGAGCAATACAATAGCAACGTATATAGAATGACCAAAGCCAAGGCACTGAAACAAGTAAGTGTTTTAGATAAGCGAGTGATGATTATTTACCTGAACCGAGTCACACATGGACAAACTGTAGCGATCAAACTAAAGAATAAGATAAGCTATTTTTAAGGCAGTACACAGGCCTTCTATTAAGCTACATGAATTCTTGAAGTAACGTCATTGAGTGCTTTTCAAATATTGTTTGCCAACTGAACTCTGAGTCTAGATCACTATTTTAATTTATGAACTCCTCAAAGGTTGAGGTACTACAGTAAACACTTTCCATACATTCCATAATATGAAAGCTGCACTTAAACAAGATATTTCAGTTGATGGAGGACAGCAAGCACTAGCTTTCCAGAATCAGAGGTGAGGAAGACTCGTGGTTTCCATAAGGATTTGTTGATCATTATCATTAATATTCCGCCCAAAATTAAAACATACCTCCATGCTAACAATGAGTTTGATCACCCCCTACTTCAAGCCTATGTATGTAGTATCAAAATGCTATATGCCTATCTATTAAGAGTTATGTATAGCACTCACTTCAAAAGACAGCAGTTAAGACACTCTGCTGTAAGCAATTAGCTAGAACACATTGACAGCTTCACCTCTGGTAGAAACCGGATGGTATCTGTCAACAATAACCACCCCAAAATAAAAGATGACAACCAATAGAACTGATAAAAGTGAAACATCATTAGTAAAAATAATTTGCAAGACTCAACAGTTCTATACTTCATAGCTTAATTAACAAAAATTTTAGTAATTTATCAAGAGTAACAATCATCCTTTAACAGTAACCTTTAAAAGAAAATCTCACAAACAAAAGACCATAGCACAAACACATATTCCAACTAGTCCAGTAAGGCTCTTTTTCGTGCTAAAAAAAGATCTTTTAAAAGGTAAAAGCAACATGAATGTTACATAAGTTTTACAACACATGACACTAGACTCCCCTGTTCACTCAGTTATGTCTTCTTCCAGCCCTGTTTTGCAAACAAATAATCTGACGCACACAAATACACACATCAATGTCAAGCGTCTACTAAAATGGAGGCTTTTCATGTCGGCTATGTAGTATCTCCATCCGAGAACAGATCAAGTAGCACGATTAAAATGCTGAATGATATCTAACCCCCAAAATATGTGATAATGATACAAATACACTTCTGTTCTCTCAGTCACAAAAGTTTAAAATGGTAATCTAATTACAATGCAAGGCTGACTGATTTTCTTAAACCAAAAAATTCTCCAGAGAAATTTCCTGAGCAGGAAGACAGTTCAGTAACAAAATGTTCAATTGTGTTAGACCAACCAGTGGTTTGGAAGCCTCTAGCTACTGTTCAGTTTTCAAACCTGCTTTCAATGAAATGTATTTGTACGTTAATCTCAAAGTCAGTTTGGCCATGTCTGATTACAGGAGAAAACTAGATGCATATGATAAGAAAAAAGTTTACTTAAATTGATATATGTAATTTTTTACAGTGATTAGATAATCATTTCCAGAATATGTTGAGTTTCCAGCCATGTTTAATATGAAAACAGAAGTCACATCTTTAACATTTCTTTTATAATGTATTCTTCTGGTTTCTCTTCATGCTATAATGTATTCTTCTGGTTTCTCTTCATGCTTGCAATAAATTCCATTTCTGGAGAATGAGTGATTTTTATTAAATGACAATGATCTTTCTACAGATCTACTAGAAACCATCATAAAACATAAAACAGATGCATAAGCTATTACAAACACAGGTTATTCAAAATTAGGAAGCGCGCCTTACAGTGACATCCCAACCAGATATTGTTTACGCTTGACCACCAATCACTTTCTTAACACCACAAACAGAACTGGAAGAGTGTGAGCTACCACTGCGAAAAGGGGGCAATGCATAATTAAGCCACTTAACAGGAAGCAAATGAATGTGAAAAAGGCTGAATCACAACAGTGCCACCTACAGTAAAGAGCATTACAAGGGAAAAATAAAACTGTGTTCAGTCAGAAAATTAAGAAAATCAAAACTCAGCAAGCAAAAACTGATTTCATCAAAAAACGGAGATCCAATAACATTACGTACATCATTACAAGATGTAATCACTTCAAAAACTAGTCTCTAAGATAAAAGCACCTTCTTAAATCTGAATAAATATGCCATCAGTTTTTCTGTTTACAAGCCTTCACTAAATACAAAAAGTAACATGCTTCTGAAGCTCTAATTCCTCATGCAGCTTTTTTGTAAAGTATAAATAAAAGTATGACAAGAGCCATGTGACAACAGACAAAAACCAGCTGAAACCTTACCTTGCATTCTACTACACTCTGATCCGATTCACACGTAACATAGATTTCATCAACTGCCCGTCTGAGATTGTCAAAAAGAAATGCCCAGTATCGAGCTCGCAAATCAACTTTTCGAGGCTGTCTTGTTTTTGTTGGGCTTTTGTCAAAGTTTTTATCTCCAGCTGCTGCTGATGTTAATTTACAGTCTATGGTAGTGCTCTAAAAAAAGAAAAAAAACAAGATACAATGGAAGAGGAAAACAACAAACAGAAGTACCATAAGGGGTTGGGCTTCTGTGCAACACACATTTTTTCAACAAACATTCATAAACAATAAATTTTTCACTGAAGAAGACATCATTCCACTGACGAGTTTTTTAAAACACAAGTATATGCAGCAGCTATGTAGAACTATGTGTTTCTTTGACATTTAGAACCCAACATTCACACTGCACAGTGGTACAAGATATTCTGTCTCTTAACACACTGGAAAGTTACATTTTCTAATTACATATCCTGTATTACTTATTCTGACAAGTATGTGCATCCAGAAATGAAAATAACATTTTACTAATAATCACACCAGCAATAATCCAACACAGTTAAATTCTATTACCAAGACATTACACACAAAACTTATTTTTAAACCTCATTCCAACGTATGAGCATTAATGTCAGTGAAATGCTGATGTGGCTAGCCCTTTGATCAGTATGTTATGGCTACTCTGTGGAGGAGGTGCCAGCAAGCACTAAATTAGTTACGAAAGGAAGCCTGCACACTTCAGAAGACTACTCGTACTATGATTTCCACTCACCATATTGTTAATATTGCAAGCTCAATTTAATTCAGTGTAAGGGTGTGCCAATTAATCAAGTTGTTCTTAATTACATCAAGTCTGACAGCATCCCCATGCTGTTTTAAGCTGAAATTTAACAGCTTTAATGACAACAAATCTGTTGTTTGACTTTCAGTGTTCATATGCAGGCTAACTGACCTAGTACTACTTTGCTGCACAGATGCAGAGGACTGCCAATAATCTAAATCCGATGAGAGCAGAGGGAGAACATCCATCTGTCTTCACAAACACTGGCACAGACAGGAATCACTACGTACTGCAAGTACTGTTATGTCACCTCAGTGACCTATCTGTTGACCTTGTGCACTCAGCTTAGTCGCTCATATGGGGATATGTCTCCTTGATAGAGATATAGTCACTTACCTGGACAGGATATTCCAGAGGATTCTGAAGCAAGAATATTTGGCTGAAAATACCAAATCAGCACTTGGTCCCATGACACTGCCCTTGTTAAATTTGAAATTCACTCTCACAACAAAAAACAAACAGAAAAATCCTGCTACCATGACAGACTTCTATAAGCTTCTGCATTCCATAGTAGCCAGGTGGATAAGGACCTCCAGTAAACCCAAAGCGACACCCAACTGTGTGTCATTTTGTGATGATGTTAGCTACATGCTACAATAGTCTGCTTTTTTTGTCTGCTTTTTTTTTTCCCCCTTCATTAATGCATTCACTTTAATTGCACCTTCAATGTCTTTTTGATGCATTGGTCCACTGTAGCACAAATCTCCAGAAAATAAATTCTTCCTGGAGTACACTTGTAGGGATTACTGCAAAATTACATTCTAAAAACTCAACTTTTAGTGATAGAATAAAAACAATCAAAACCAATGTTGTACAAGCCAGTACACAAAGTTTATAACTAGAGTATCTAATCACTAACTAGAAATATTGCAAATAGCACAACAACTGACTGGAATTCAAGCCTTTTTGTACCCTATGTAAAAAAACAGGAAATATTATTTCTTTGTGCCACAAGATGAGTTTAATGGTAGATAAGTTTATATTTGGAGACAGACAATTCTTATTAAAAAGTCCTTTTAGACCACAGGCAACATAAGGTAATCAGGAACGGTGGCATAGTTTTGGATGGACTTATCAATGAAAGTACTTCTAAGGAACAGCTACAATAATATTTTTATGATGAAATATATAGACACCGAAAGATTGTACAAAGCCTAGAGAAAATTTTCCTCATTCTCCTTAAGAGGACCTTTTTTTGTGTGAATTCCTCTTTAATTCCAATAAATTGTGCCTAAGTTACAAAAACTTCCCTGCATGTTTAGGAAACATGTATATGAACTCATATTTCTCATGCTCAAATTACAGAATGGGAAAGTAGGCAGTAAACAAATGATTTTTCAATCACTGTATTTAAAAATATAAATGCCTTTCTTCTCTAGATTTTAGGGGTCTTATTCAATAAATTCACACCTTAAACGGTGTTTCCCATTGCAAGGGAAATGAACCCTGACACAAGGATAGAGCCTCCAAAACTATTTAGTAAATTCCAGAGCTCTGTTTCTTCTTCTTTCCACCCATCTCTCTCTGGGTTCCAGTCTGCTTATTCCCTCGAGCGCTCTGACTATTTATACCACACAGCGTTAAACACAGCAAATTTCGCTTTGTAATTAGGGAGGTGGACACGGCGCTGTCAAAATGTTCTCATTTGCATTTGTGTTCAGCTTCTAATTTTTCTGTAAGAAGGGGAACCTGATTTACTACACTCATACTAACACCTCTGCTACCCTTACATACATCTTAAAATGCTCTAAGTGTACTTTAGATGAACCCCAGTTAATGTATGCACGAGAAACATGTTCAAAAAAGATGCATGTCAAACAGGAACTTCAGAAGGTTTTCATATGTCAGAGTATTTAATATTTTTTCTTCTACAACAGAAGAGCCATCTCTTAAAGAATAGCTTGGAGAAAAGATGCTCCTTAGCTGAGACCTTGTATCTAAACCTTTGAAGCAAAGCTTAGACTGGTTAATTTTCAGCTTCTTTAAAATACAGTTTACAATGACATAGATTTAACTACGGAATCATAAATAGCTATATTAAAATAACAGTGCTACCTTTTGCTGCCTATATTTATAAAATGTGACCTTAGAAAAGTGATTAGACTTCCACTCATTCAGCTAATATTGTCGATATAAAAGATCAGTTGTTTTGGAATGGAAACCATGCATAATTCCCAGCATTTGAAAGACATTTTCAAATGCATCTTTAAGAGAGTGTCATGGGATATGTTTTGATATTTAGCAATAAATGTTATCCATCTACTGTATCTGGCATCCATTTATCATCTCTATTATGTGTCAGTCATATTTTAATTATGAAAACAGCATGTTGAACTGTGTTAACTACTGTAAATTGTAGCAGTTCCATTATTACCCCTGTAAGCAGACTTCCAGTATCTACACAAAACCTAAGCAACATTTACCGCTACTCATATTCCAGTAGAACACCTTTGAAAAGAGGTGAACCCCTAAACTACCACATTTCTTGTAAACACAACCACATAAGCAGGTGGTTAGTTAATAGAAAGAATAATTTAAGTTCCTGATACAAGTCAGTTCTAACACTGTACATTTGAATTTGTCACAGCCTGGTATCTGCCACTCAAGGAAACAGAAGTCAATTTTCAGAGAAGAACCCAAAGCACAAAGTTTGGCACTTCAGTGTCAGAAATTCCATGAAAAAAGATCAAACTCAGCAAGCTATTTTCAAAATTAACCAAGTTTGACTGGCACCAACCTTACTGAAACAAAAGCCAACACTCACTTGAGTTTAAGAGTTGCAGCAAAGACTACACTTAATATAAAGATACTACTCATATTTTATACAGATTGCTATATTCTTTACAAATGTTTAATGCAAGGATCAAGAAATTACTGGGATTTCTGAGTTAATCTGTGTATTGTTCAGCAGAAACTTTAGCTGTAAGCATGTTAAGTAAATATTCTAATGAATCAAACTAACATTTCATTGTGAAAAGCAAGGAATGCTGGATTAGGTACAGACCTTTCAAGACTCTAGTTTCTGTACAGCTATAGCTTTATTATTATTATTATTATTATTATTCATCCTTCCCGGAATTAACTTTTAATTAAACAGTATTTATTAGAAGTATGTACTTTTGCCAGATCATATTTTTCAGTGTCATGCTCAGGTTGAGAGTGGTGCAACAGTGGAACTCAATTTCTCTGGTATTCAGAGGGAACATATGGGCACAGGACAGAGTACTTCTAACAATGTAGTCTGAAGAAAGATAAGGCAACAATTCCATATCTTCACTAAGAAGGAGCTATACTCAAGCCACAAACCCCACCTACATCCATGTGTCTACTGCTTCCAACTAACTCTCAGATTTTTCACTCTTGTTAATAGTTCAGACTGTTACTATAACAGGCGAGAGTAAAAACAAGCCTTTTTCCACTGACAAGACACATGGACACAGAATTAAGTTTTTCTGAGCAGAGTTCTAAAGCTCCAATCCTGCAAACTTCTACACATCTTAGCTGGATTTAAGAACTACCTTTTGAATCTTCTAAGTGGTCTCAGATCCCTTAGCCTTTGACAGTACACTTATCCAAAATTTAATCCATGCTTAACTACTTTGCAGACCAGTGCACATTAAAAAAAAAATAATAAAAATAAATAAATAAATAAATAAATCAGTGTTTACAAACACACCAAAAAATAGTTTGCCTTGGCTCCCACTCCACCCTCAAATAACATGCATGTTTACCCTAACTGTGATGACAGCATATATAGACATGATCTTAGCAGTCCTACGCTGAAGCTTGTCCTAACTAGAACAACAAAACCCACCCAAAAATGGCAGATTCAGAGGGGCTAGCTTGTAGTGAACTATCACTTCTAGTGATAGTTCAAACCTTCAGCTGCAGAAAATGCAAAGCTTTTGTGCCTTTGAAATTAAGAAACATGGGAATATTCCTTCTTGCATCTCAATGTACATGACAAAAGTGATGTTAACACTGAATCTCTCTCCTTTTTTTTTTTTTCCCCTCCTTTCCAAAATAGTTTCCATAACTTGCCTTGGAGTTCTGGAAAGTATGAAGTGTATATTTATTCTAAGGATGCCAAAATTTATTGAATGTAGATTTGTCAACACCCTACTGAGAGGACGATGAGGTTGACAAAATCATATGTGAGAGTTCTTGTAAGTATTTTCTTGAGATCAGTGTCCCATTTATATGTAAAGGAAAACTAAAACTGAAGGCTCAAAAAAAAGTAATAAAAAAGCCACCAATTTACAGCAATATGCAGTGTTTGAAACGCAGTAGAAATAAAGGTGCTGAATGCCAAACTGAAGTGCCAAGATGCACAGAC